ATAACAGCCTGATAGTGATATTAAGATGCTAAACTCTCAAGTACCCTGGAAGCACTCAGGTAAGACAGTGAGAACTCCCTAGGGGAAATTCATCACTTTGCTTATAGTGTTGGGTTTGCGTGCTAAATAACATCAAAGGCCAGATTCTGAATGAGAAAGATAAAAAGAAATGGTAAATAATTACCCATTCATGTAATGCAGAACGGATTGGTGGTGGGGAAATTACACCATTAAAATCTGCATGCGTATGGTATGGAGGAAGAAACTTAACCTTCATTCTGGCTTTCTATAGGTTTTTGAGTAGTAGTCCTTGCAATTTTCACTTTTATTTAATGCGAAGAATTGACTTTGAGTTGGAAGAGTTTTATTCAATATTATTGGTATTTTCCTGCAAAGTCATTTCATTTTGGCAAGAAAGGAAACTTTTTTGTTGTGTGTTGTTTTTAGTATGTATTTGTGGTTATAATTTATGTCCTTCTCTACTGATGGCTATGCAGCACTGGTAAGCAGTAGGCTGGCATCACCTGCCAAGGACTAGTAGTGTTTTTCATTTTTCCTAGGGTGAAAAAAGTGTATGGTGAATCTGTACACAACCAGAAAGCTGAGGTAATAAACTTAACCCCAAAATATTTTAAACCTTCACAGGAGAAAAATTGCAGTGTCTGAAAAATTAGTAGCAGTAGCTAAAAGCCAGAATAGCTATTTAATGAATTGTAAAGGTAACCTTGATTACATAATTTTGTTATAATGAAAGATCTGGTGTTCTTATGTGAAATTCATAAATTAGATTATAAAGTTCAATGTGTCATGTAGTTGAAGTAGAGGCTTTTGATTATATTTTTGTTAAAGACACAGTTAGAGACATTCTGTAGTCCAGGTTTGGGGAAAAAAGCTGCACAGGAAGAAATTTTTAAAAATTACCCGCAGTAAATAAAATATGTGAAGAAAGAGACTTGGGAAGCAGACTAAAAGGATTTTCTTAAAAGTTATGTAGTCCAAGGCTTGTATATATCTCAATGAAAGGAGCTCTGTGGAAAGGCAATAACAGCTTTTAATTTTCAAGATTTTTAATTTGAGAATTCTTTTTTATTATTATTATTAATTTTTTCAAAGTTCTGCATGGTGTGATTGCTAGCATATACCTTAATACATACATAGCACCTTGGATACAATCTTCTAAACACTAACTGAATAGTGTTTCACAGCTGACTTCAGTATGACCACAGTTAACCAGGACTGGTAAAGCTTTTTAGAAAAGCCATAGTTCCTCAAGTAGGGAGATGCAGCCAATAATTATACTGTCAAATCAGAAAATGTTTTATCAGCTGTAGACCAGTATCAGTGACACTATAATTTTGCATTGTTTAACAAATGTGTGTGGTAACTACACTGCATAAAAGCTAAAACAATGCTTAGCCTTGCATATCTTTAATGTTTTTAATCAGAAAAGCAAATGAGGGTATGGTTAACATAAGACTAATCAGATCAACTGCTTGATTTCTACTGCTTTACTCTGTATCGTTAATATTAAAGAACATACATTAATAAGAAAAGAGAATAAATCCCTGAGATTCAATAGTGAACAAACAAGTGAAGCTGCGCAGAAATTGCCTGAAGACTTGACTGATTTCATGGAGAGTGACAGAACTTCTCTATGAATTTCTTAAATTCTTTTGTTTTGTTATGTAAGACATCTTTTAAAGGAGAAACATCATCGTGCATTAAAGTCTGAAAAGATTTTTCTTTAAAAAAAAATATATATATTCATTTGTGGAGAAATATCCTCTTACAATTGCTTAGTATTTATGTGATGTTCTGTATGTTAGAAGATGTATAAATGCATCACAGACCACTAGGAGATGCTACAGTGAAGAGACTTTGCAAAGACTTGAGTCCCTCCATCTACTGGGGTGCAGAAGGGCAGTTGCTGTGTTTTGATTCTGAGTGGGATTGGGTTGTGGTGCTAATTCATGCTGCCCAGCTGGTATTTTGGTATAATGGCAGCAGGCCCCATGGTGCACGGTTCTTGGAGTATAGAAAGCCACCTGTGCTGCATCTCAGAAGTACCCCCCACCTTCTGCATCTTCCACTTTCATCTAAGGCAATGAAGAGAAGGGTAGTATCTGAGGAAAAATGAGCCTCAGGGGAAGACAATAAAAACAAAACAAAACAACAACAACATAAAAAAAAAAAACACCACACAAAAGAAAGGAATATATGTTATGTAAACCTACTGATGTCAGGGCTTTGGTTTTGATATGACATTTATCTTTACAAGTGAAGTTATCAGATTATCTTTTTAATGAATGAAGGTAAATGTTAAAGGCTTAAACCCTTATGTAAATAATCAGGTGCACTGGTTGATGTGGAGATAGATTTACAGTGAAGGGCTGGAGGCAGAATGGGAAGGGGCAGAATCTTTTGGCTCTTGTCTGAAGTGGGTTCAGCTTGACATTGAAACTGAGAACAGGGAGGTGTTTGGAGCTATCCCCAGTATGAGGGTAGCAGTGTCTGATAGTAGGTAATTTGACTTGTTAGGATGACAATTGTATGGTTTGATGTGTAATTTTTGGTCATGAAATAATACAGTGAGTTGATATTTGGAATGGGAGAATGAGGGAAGCAGTTCGGTTTCACAGGTAGATTTTTATATGTGCTAATAATTTCATTCAATTTCAGAATGTATCTGCCAAAACACACAAGACAGTGTGTTATGTATTCGGAAGAAATAGAAATAGAAAATCTAAAAAAAAAGAAATAGAAAATCTATGAATGTAAATATAACATCTGATGGGTAATTTTATAGGGAACATTCCTTTTCCCTGATGTTTTTGTACATGAAAATCTGTTAATACCTATATCATATGGGGCTGAGCCTTACTATTAGTTTATTTGATGGTGGAGAAAACCTTTTAAAGTTTAAATATAATAAGGTCTAATGTTTTTAATTTTATACTAGGAATATAGTCAACCTCATCATAAGTATGTCAGATATGACATTGAAATAATTCTTTGATTTTTGCTCTGTACTTTTGGTGGAGGATTATTCTAGATTCTCATTGCTCTAGTGAGGACCCGATCTTTGTGACCTTCTAATTCCCTTTCAGATTTCCATCTTACTTTCATGGTGAGTTTGTATCCATTTGTTCTTGTGCCATCATGGTCCTTTAGTAAAAATAGTCTTCTCCCTCCCTGGTGTTTACCCCTGATATATTTATAGGTAACAATCCCTCTCATCACAACCTTCTTGCTTACTCTGCAAAGGGGATCAAATTCTTGTTCACATCAAATGCTTTTTTAAAGCTGCAGTTTATTTCTTTTCAAAAGAAGGAGCAAAGTGTCGAATTGTTGATTTGCTGAGAAGGGGAGGAGGAGACATCAACTCATGGAAATTACTGAGGACTTTCCTACTTCATAAAAGAAGCCTATCAAAGCATTCTTAATATTATTCTTTTGGGGACATGATACTATTGATAGGTTATTACTTAAGCACTGTGTAAGATAACAAACCACAGTAGACGTGGTGGGTGGGTTTTCTTCCTGTTTCATACAGACATTCCAAGTTTGGTGGTGAGCAGCTTCGCTTGAATTCATTGCAGCATTGTGCACAGTGTATGGGGATGAACTTAAACTTTACAAAAACTGAGATTGCTGATTGCTGTCATGAAGTTATGTCCCTGCAGTGGCTTAAGAGGTGGGACAAAGAGCCTTTCTGATGAGCTGGGAAATGGGATACAGTCATAGAATCATAGAATCACAGAATGTCTTGGTTTGGAAAGGACCTGAAAGACCATCTACTTCTAACCCCCCTGCCATGGGCAGGGACACCTCCCACTAGAGCAGGTCACTCAAAGCCCCATCCAATCTGGCCTTGAACACCTCCAGTGATGGGGCAACCACAGCTTCTCTGGGTAAGCCGTTCCAGTGCTTGTTTCCCCCTTGTCCTATCACTACACTCCCTGACACAGAGTCCCTCCCCAGCTTTCCTATAGGCCACCTTTAGATACTGGAAGGCCACTGTAAGGTCTCCCCAGAGATTTCTCTTTTCCAGGCTGAACAACACCAACTGCCTCAGCTTGTTTTCATAGGAGAGGTGCTCCAGCCCTCTGATCATCCTGATCATGGCCCTCCTCTGGACTTTCTATAATAAGTGCACGTCCTTCTTGTGGTGGGTGCCCCAGAGCTGAATGCAGCACTCCAGGTGGGGTCTCATGAGAGCAGTGCAAAGGGGGAGAATCACCTCCCTCAGTCTGCTGGCCACACTTCTTGTGATGCAGCCCAGGATACAGCTGAAATTCCTTGCCTATATACCTCTACTACTCTTCAGTGACTTCAAAAGAGTTAGGATTCTCTTGACTAAATTGGTCTAGAAATCAGCAGTGTCTGGTAGTAGATAATTTGACTTGTTAGACTGACAATTGTATGATTTGGTGTGTAATTTTTGGTCATGAAATAATACAGTGAGTTGATATTTGGAATAGGAGGATGAGGGAAGCAGTTTGGTTTAACAGGAGATTTTTATATGTGCTAATAGTTTCATTCAATTTCAGAATGTATCTGCCAAATTTGACATTTTCAGTAAAGGGAAGGTAGTCCCCGTTTCACTTTTTCCTTATGCATATTCCTACAATCTTTCTATTAGTTTGCCTCACAAATTAATAGTTAAATAACTAGATTTAGGTGACATGGCTGTATCAGAAACTGACAAAACAAGTTCTCCTTACAAACTGTCACATTCGATTTTCATGAATGTAGAAATTCTAGGTTTTTTTTTGTTATTGTTTTGTTTTGTTGTTTTTTTTTCTTTTGCTTAAACATAGTTCTCTTACACATACCAGTTGTCCCAGTGATCCTTATACTACCACAAGAGATTCTCACTTCAGAAAGAGCAAATTACCATCATTATATTTTCATCTGTATATGAAATTGTGGAAGGAGAAGGAGTGAGCATTTGGGGATTATATTCTGCATTGCAATATTCTAACTTTTGTCTTTTTCAGCTTCAGGAATGGGTCAGTCTATCTGAAAAGGACTCTCTCCAAATATTTATAGTCTCCAAGCTCATCCTCCTAAAGACTCTGGCATTACAACTGCACCCTTTTTAAAATGGCTGAGAAGGCTCCACCAGGGATCAACAAAAAGTCTTCAAGGTCTACCCTTTCTCTCCCACCAGAACCAGTGGAGATCATTAGGAGCAAAGCCTGCTCGCGGAGAGTTAAAATAAATGTTGGTGGACTCAACCATGAAGTGCTGTGGAGGACTTTGGACAGACTTCCAAGGACACGATTAGGAAAGCTCAGAGACTGTAATACTCATGAATCTCTGCTCGAAGTATGTGATGACTATAACTTAAATGAAAATGAATACTTTTTTGATCGACACCCAGGGGCTTTCACTTCCATTTTGAATTTCTACAGGACAGGGAAACTACATATGATGGAAGAAATGTGTGCTCTTTCTTTTGGGCAGGAGCTTGATTACTGGGGGATTGATGAGATATATTTAGAATCTTGCTGCCAGGCAAGATACCACCAAAAGAAAGAGCAGATGAATGAAGAGCTGAGGAGAGAGGCAGAGACAATGCGAGAGAGAGAAGGGGAAGAGTTTGATAATACATGCTGCCCAGAGAAGAGGAAGAAACTCTGGGACTTGCTGGAGAAACCCAACTCATCTGTGGCAGCAAAGGTAGGATAAACAGTGTGTTTAATTCACAAGCAGGAGTTAAATGTCCAGACATGCATGAATCAATGTTTTTCACTAAAATATTTAGAGAAAAGAAGAATCTAAACATCTACATATCATGAAATGAATACACCCAAATCTGTTCTAAAATCCACTGAAATCAGAAGAAGAAATCCTGTTGATTTCAGTTGATTTTAGATATGTGCTACGCTTTACATTTGTTGTATATAAACAGAAACGTGTGACTGTTAATGAACGTCACATTAAACTCTTTGATAAAAATGCGTCTAGAGAACACTACTTACTTTTTTGTTAGAAATGCATTTGGTTACGAGAAACATATTCTATTAAACCCTCAATTATTTGTTACAGTTTTGATACCTGTTCTATTACAGGCATTGCACAGATGTGATATCACTGACTCATAAAGTGTGATAAGCGATAGTGAAAGAATAGTGTCAACAGCCGCTGTCTGTCATGGTTTTATATTGGGCAAGGGTTGCAGTATGTTCTCTCTTATACTGTGCTTTGTGGTCAAGAATTAGTGTTCTATATGAAAGTATTAAAGCATGTATATACACATTAAAGCATATATATACACATATATATGTATGTATGCACATCTATGTGTATATACAAATATATGTATATACAAATCTATGTATATGTATACCATATGCATATTATATATAATATAGATATTCAGATAGAGGTAAGGAAGCATTCATGTGAAAGAAACCCTGTTCTGCTGTCTTTAAACAGACAAACTGATGAAAGTCTCAGTGATATCATGGAAAAGTTTCCCTTTGCATGAGTGCACACACTTAGGGTGAGATTTTGATGCTACAATTTAAGAAAAAATTGTCTTTGCTTCTTGAGGAACTTGATTGTTCTTTTTGTGACATGAGGTATTATTTAATATGAGAAAAACTGTCTCCAGTTTGGACCACTCAGAGTGAAAATGTTCAGCATATAGATGTCCATGTTAAGCTTAACTGTGGATTAATTTTTTTCTGTCATTAATTTGTTGTTGGATGCAACCCCATTGGACTAAGGTAAGTATTAAAATATGATGGTGGAATGTACTAAACCCCACATCCTGTCAAGGACTTTTTCTTGCAATAATAACTTCTTAAAACTGAGATGCAATATATGATTTCTTATTTTAATTTTAGTTCTTCATTGTGGACTGTGTAACTGTTTAAGCAGGGGCTGACCTTTTTCAAAATCTTATTTATGGTGCCAAAATATAAGGTTTGTAACTGGACTAAAAGCTGATAGGAGAAAAAAAGGAGGGTATTAGGATATTTTACAAAACAAGATGAATACATTTTCTGCTTTGGAGATTCATATTCTGGGCCATATGTTCCTCTCCAGGAGAAGGAGCAGAGGGGAAACAGATGGGCATAAGGTGTGCCAGAAAGGGTTCAGGGAGGCCATGTTGCACTCTGTGATCCCCTGGTACAAGTTAGCCTCCATCAGCCCCCCTCCCCAGCATTTCTGTGACATAGCTGCTACATGGCTTGCAGGAGTCAGGGACCAGCTTCTCAGTCCCTCACTGTTTAAAACACTCCCAATGTGACCTGTAATAGACCTTATCTTCTCCCACTTGTCTGCAAACATGAAAAATGAGGCAGCAGTAGCTGGATCTGGCTTCCTGGCATGCGGTGGTGAGCAGGAGACAGGGAATAAGATCCTGGAGGAACCACAAGGGCAGGACACATTGTGCCCAAGCTGGGACATGGCCTGCCATGGGCACTGCCTCAGCTACATGTCACACCATGCCTGGCAGACAGGCTCGGGGGAAATGGAAATGGATTGTGTGCTTGTAGAATCTTCTCTTGATTTCTTTTTAACGTAGAGAAGGCTCACAGGGCTTGCGACACTTGTTTACTTAGTGTTTTCCTAAGAGTATTTAAACTTAGGAGTCAGCACAGAAAGATGGAACAGATGAATAGGGCAAAACTAAAACAGTGATTCTACAGTTCTTTGCCTATGACTGATTAGCACTCAAACACTCTTTGGCTTGGTAGATAAATGCAGAAACACAGGACAGTTAAACTACTATATTTCTCTGCAGGTTTTGCAAATGAAGGTGGCTGTTTCTTTCATTTTCCAAGATGTTTAAATGGGTATTGTTTACTTTTTCATTTCCCTTTTCCCTCATCTCCTGGTTTGATTGAATGTTAACATTCTACATTTCCTTGCTACAGGGAGTTTCACGTTGCACTTGTGTACATGTAGCAATGGATAGCTGGTTTGCGTTATTTCAATCGCCTTCTGTCTAAGTTAATGCCATTTCATGTGATTCCTGTGATTCTAGCAGCTGGAAGTCACCATATTATATGCATTCAGTTTCTCTTTTTAGCAATACTCAGTCTGTAAATATATATATAAGCCAAAATTATAGTCCGTTACACCCATGGCATCCTAAGGAAGGCTGTAGAAACTTGGCTGAATGACACGGTTGCATAGCATAAAGGAGAACAAAAACTGTCGCAGCAGATTCAGACTTCTGGAACATAAGCAAACAAGCAGAGCTGCATGTAAAACAAGATATGCTGGAATCAGTCAGATGTACTCTCAGTCTGAAGCCATCGCAGGCTGTGTGAGGCTCCACGGCAAGATTCTTATCTGAAATGTTTGGATAACATTATTTTCAGATTTCTCATCTTTTGTTTCATTATGTGGCAAATTGCTAATTTTTCCCAAAACAGGGGGCAGAACCATCTTCTTTCCTCTGTAGGAGTAAAGCCAACCAGCCACTGTCCTGGCAATCCCGTGTCAGGCTGTAAGCCCAGGACCACAGCCCCAGGCAGGAGGAAACTGGGCATGTCACTGAGGTGCCAACCTTTTTCCCAGGGATGAGGGGTTTATCTCCACCACTCGTGGCAGCTGAGCTGAACAGCTGTGAGATCTGCTTGGCAATGAGCATCTCATCTGGAGATGATTCCTTGGAAGGGAAGTAGAGAAAAGTTAGGAACCAAAGTAGAAAATACTACCATGAAGCCTTAAATTCAAACACTCCATCCTTTTCTAACTTCTGAAGAAGCAAATGAAAACATGGCAACGTACATAGCTATCCTACAGATACTGTTCAAGTAGTTATTCATGTACTGTGTAGCACCTAAGCAGTTGAAAGGAACAGATTGCTTTTTAATCTCTTTCACGTAAAAGATTAGGAAAGTGAGGTAAACACTCAGGTGTGGTTTTGATATGTGGGTGTGGCTTGCGGCTTCTTGATTCTGCTAAGATCCCTTCTAGGTCTGATCCAAAGCTTATTGAATCAAGGGGGAGTCCCGCTTTGGATTACGTATCACAGCACAAATCCTGCTTCTCTGGAGGTCAGTGAAGGCTTGCATTGACTTCACTTAGAGCAAGGTGAGAGACAGCAAGGTCAGAGTGCATGAATAGCTGGTATTGTACAGTATCTGTGACAATAAATAGGAAAGGATGATAAATATGCATGGCAAAGGATTAAAAGTATGGTTAGATAGTAAGAAAGTAGTATTATAGATCAAATTATGTTGTGCAATACAGATACTCTTTACTATGTGGGTTTTTTATTTTGGCAAACGTAGGAATGTACCTCATCTTAGTCACCGGTTTCTCCTAGGTATGTTAATTCTTGCTTAGCTCTCACTCCTGCAAAGTTCTCCATGATTTCAGTTAAGGTTTTGACTAAGGAATGAAGGATTTGGTTCTATTTGCCTGCATTCTCGTTCAAAAACTTTTCAAGTAGGGTTAAGAGAAAGAATTTCCTGAGGTTTGGCTATTTCATGCATGCAGAGTAATATGAAATGACAAGCAGTCCTAGGGATTAGGAAAAGCAATAATTTTTTGTAATCTACATCCCAGGGAATTTCTAACCCTGGCCCTCAAACCAGAGAGTTTTGTGACATTCTGTCATTCTTTAATTCCAGTGTAGCACCTGAGTTTTTAGACCAGCCATTTGATTATATTTTATGTGTAACCAGTATTTTGTGAAAACTGTTTGAAGAAGTTATTTTACCAATTTATAGTGAAGAAAAACTGAAACAAAAATGTACTGTGAGTCATTATGGCACATAAATTTGAAGTGGAATCAACCTTGTCCAGAGTAGGGTCACAGTACATCAATTTTTCTCCAGAAATATCCTGTTCACCTTAGAGATTTTGTTTGGGAAATAAAATATACCATAATTTGGCTGTTTAGTTACAGTTTCTACACCTAAAACAGCTTTCTTTGAGTAAAGAAAGAAGCAGTAACTCTGAACAAGCTATCAGTAGTCTGAAAGTCCTCAAGAGACACCAGAATGAGTATTGATTTCCGTGGACGTGAATAGACTTCAGGTGGATTGCATAGGGATATTAAGGATGAACCTAGCTGAGTTGAAGCCTTTATAATGACATATATGTTGTACTGTTCTGTACAGAACACTTAAAATCAGAGGAGCTTTACTTTGGAACAACTGTGAATCAAGTAAATCCCTATATTTATTTATTTATTTATTTTTCAGAGTATTAGTGCGTGAGCTCTTCATGCCATTCTTATTTATAGAATTTAAGAGCCTGATTCTTTTCTCACACTTGTTTTACATCAATGAGACTCACTTGAACTAAATCCTAAACAAATATGGAATGTTTTGAGTGCAGATGAGCTACTATAAACATAGTTAATGAGTTCAGAAATTAGTGGAATATCTAAGAGAAATACAGAGCCTATTTCTGCTTAGAGATATCTGAAACTGCCTCAATCATCTTTCACTATCACTGGTATATACAAGATTATTTTAAATAACTTGCAGTAATGTTATCAATAAATGTCAATATAATTTTCCTTTTTTGGTATTTCAGTATCTTGTATCACGGGTTGGCCCTTTGAATGTAACTGGAGAGTAATTGCTTGGGATTGACTCTACACAACTTGTACAAGTAATTCTTTCTCACATGAATATTTTCTTAAAACTCAGTGTGAATATTAACTGATCAAATATAAAATATAATATAAATAAGCCAAGTCA